ATCATTCTATGTGGTGGACCTGGTTAGTGCACAACCAAGTGTACCCGATGCCCTATTCCTTCACTTGACTCACATATACATGTGAACAAGGAATTAGTCTTAATTTCCCAAATATGAAGATTCTCATCATCACACACAATACTAGCTGCATGATTCCAAGTTTCTATTCAATTGAAACTTGGGTGATGAGAATCTTTCCTTATTTGGTAAATTATGACACTACCACAAACGAAAGAATCAAATCCATTTTCCAATATTGCTATCAATGGAAACATATAAGTAACAATTTTCACAAATGCCATTGTAAGGAAACTAATATGGCCCAATTTCCTAATTAGGCCCCGAAACCATCCTCGACCTAATTCCAAGAAAGCCCATATTCTATCCATGGTCCAAAGTCAGAAGCCCAATGGCCCAATCTCTAAAAGGCCCAAAATAGACGCCCTGGGGAGTACGCACTGCATACTCGCCTATGAAGTACCACGTACAAGTCTCGAATGCATGAAACTCGCATTACGCTGAGCGTACCCTTGTAGCCCAACGTACTCATCAGAGGTTCAAAGGTCCATAATAAGCTCTTAATGGTTAAGACAAAAGCATCCAAACACTTATATTAACTTTAAATGATGTCTTAAACCATAAAGTCATAAACTTTAAGCCCTTGCATGGATAAAGAGGGCTAAATCTCCAAAATCCTTACTTTCACAACACTCAAAACCACTTAACTCTTGCACGGTTCTAAGGAAACAATCAAGCAAACATTTTTATAACTCAGAACACTCTAAGACCTCAGAAAGGACAACTAATATGCTCTGGAGTACTCCATACTCACAAAGATCCAAACTTTGGGACAAAATCTTATGAAACTATGCCATAACAAGATATAAGAATAGAGTCATCAAGTTTGAAGCTTTATACCACCAGAAGGTAGATCAAGATGCACAAAGCCTGGATCCACAAGCTTCAAGCAATCCCACATTTCTCCAAGAAGATCCTCCTTCTTCAATGAGCACTAAAAAGCAAGAAATACCACCAAAAGCTCAAGAACAACACCAATGGGAGCTAGGGTTTCATTTCTAGGGTTTAACGGGATGGAGGCTGAAGATAAGAGGGTTTGGTGTTGATTTAAGGAGCTTAAATAGGGTCCAAGACCCTAAATTAGGGTTTAGGTCTGACTAGAGTATGCCATGCGTACTCCTAGTATGCCCAACGTACTCCAAAGGAGTCTCGCGACTACCCTGCCTAGTACGCCATCGTACTTCCATGTACGCCCTGCGTACAAGGCTCACCCTAAAACTGCCAAATTCCGAAGGCTATAACTTCTTCGTTCTAAGTCCGTTTCCGACGATCCTTATATCCTCGGAAAAGGTAACGAGAAGCGCTACACTTCTATTAACTCATCCTTGCCTTAAAACTTTTCATACTAAAATACAAAATTCATAAATAGCCTGAACCGACACATTACCGATATACCCTTGAGCTCCAGAACACGAACTGAACTTATGGATCACCTAATCTATAATACCCACATCCAAAAAGGGTCTAAATCGCTCTTTCCTTAAGAACCAAAGCCTTATGATAACTGATCTTCGGGTCATGACCCTGAATAATGAAACGATTCGAAATCGGGTGTTACAGTATAAAATTTATACCTTCAAAAGATGCAAAAGATGAAGTAGTTTCTGGATCTACAAGCTTGCAAGAAACAACTCCTTCTTCACTAGTCTTCTTCTTCAACAAATGAGCACCAAAATCACTAATAAGCTCCAAACTCTCACATACAAGGCTAAGACTCGAGATTAGGGTCTATGAGGGAAGGGTGGCTGATAAGAAATGTTGAAGGGAGGCATAAGGTGGATTAAATAGTGGAGCAGACCCTTAAAATTTGGATTTGGAGACTGAGCTAGTACGCCGTGCAAACCATACGTACGCCCTGCGTACCATACGTACTCCCAACGTACTAGTAGGGTTTCGCGATCCAGGTCTCGCACAAGTACGCTGCATGTAGCTCTCGTACGCCCAACTTACAGGCTGATTTTCGTTTCTTTAAACAGTGAGGGACCAAAAGAGCAAACCTTAAATAGTAGACTAAGGACTAGAATGAAAATATATACCTGAAAATAGGATGTTACAAGACAGATCGACGATGTTCGATAGGCCAACTCAAAAGAAGGGGATTATGTTGCCGGTGGTGTTGGCCTTTGGTTAGTTTTCGTTGATTAATACATATAGATGGATATATATATGGTCATATGGTATACAAATATGGTGTTCTATGATTAGAGAAAGAGAGGGATGAGTTGCGGTAGGGTCCACACACACACACACACATATATATATATATATAATATATATATATATATATATATATATATATATACCAATTATAAATAGGTTAAGAAGAAAATAAAAAAATAAAAAAGGTGTAAAAATTAATTTATAGGAAATAAATACCAAGCATGCAAAATATTCAAACCATAAGTACCGTATCAACCATTTACTTAATTTTGTCTAATATTTATATTTTGACAAAACTGCAAAAAATGGTCCATATGGTATGCATTTCTTTCGGGATTTAGTCCAAACCCTAACTTTTTTGGATTGGTGGTCCTTTTGACCATATTTGCTTGTGATTTTGGTCCCTCGGAAAACTGAAACGACTAAATTGCCCTCTTGACATTTATTTTACGTTTTTTCTATTTAATTTAAAGTTTTATAAAATTTACATCTCTCTCTCTCTCTCTCTCTCTCTCTCTCTCCTCTCTCTTTATCTATCTATCTATCTATCTATCTATCTATCTATCTATCTATCTATCTATCTATCTCCCTCCCAAACCTAAAGCATCCGCCATAGGAGCAAGATTAAAGAGTTCTTGGATTTGGAACACCAAGATCATCATTTAAATTTTCGCCATCTTCACTCCCTACCTAACACCACCCCTCTCTGCTGCAATAATTATCGATCCGTACTTAACCCTTCTTCCGTCGTCGACTTTTCCACCAAAATCTGGATTTGTTCCTTCTGCCTCCATAGCAATCACTTTCCTCACCATTACCAATCCATCTCCGATGATAACCTCCCTACAAAGCTCTTCCCTCACTACACCACCATCGAATACGAACCCAAAAATGAGAGACTCCCTTCCCAAACTATCCCTCAAATATTTTTCTTCACGATAAATACTTATGTGATTGAAGAGGAAATCAGGTTTTTAACTTTCAAGGGTTATTAGGGAGATTCTAGATAATTCTCTTGTCGGTTTGATTACTTTGGGAGGTATGTTTTGCATTCATGATTTGGGTTTTTTTTACAGAGTTCCCAAGGTTTATGTGTTTAATAGGGCCAAAGAGATTACTAAAGATCAAGTTTTAGACTAGACGTGTTTCTTTCTAAAGAAACCCATACCAAGCTCCAAAGGGTTATTGCCGGAGAAGGTGGTGGAGGAAGTGGTAATGATAATGACTTGGCGGGCAATGGCTGGAGGAAACAATTTCAATCACCATTGATAGAGCTCTAACGATCACATGAGTATTGGTCTGTATATTGTAGAATTTTTTTGGAGTTTGTTCGTGAAGAAAAGATTTTAGAATGATTTTCTGGATGAATATATCTTGCCACTAATGGTGTTCCAAACTTTGATTGATTCTTTCTCACCGAAGATGGTGCTGAGGAGATCGGGACCGAGTTGCAGGTAAAGGAATTTTTTGGGTTTTTATTTTCTATGTGTATTCATTCCTTCGACTTCTAATTTGAGGTTTGTCATGTTTGATTTTAAGGATTAATATTCTAGTTTCTTATTCCTTTTGGATTGAATCTGATTTACAGATATGGTTTAAATATGAGTTTATTTTATAGATAATAGTATTTTTTTTTTTGCAGATAATTATGTCCATCTTCATCTCCATGACTTTGTATGGAATTTTTGCGGGCGAAGTTGGTGGGGATGGGATGGATATTTGAATGGTTGATATATATATATATATATATATATATATATATATATATATATAGGGAAGGGTTATTTGGAAAACAAAAAAACCCTAAAAAAACCATAAAAAAATACCTAGAGATCACAAAACTTTTTTTTTGACATTTTTTATGAAAAAATCGCAGGTTTTTAAAGAAATTCGCTGAAAAAAATTTTGAAATTTTTTTTTTATAAAAAAGAATTGATTTTTTATTTTTTTTTCAGCGAATTTTAATAAAAAGCTGCTATTTTTTATAAAAAAATTGAAAAAAAAGTTTTGTGATCTCTAAGTATTTTTTTATGCATTTTTTATGATTTTTAGGGTTTTTTGTTTCCATAGAACCTAAACCTATTATATATATATATATATATATATATATATATAATATATATATATATATATATACCCTCTTTAATTTTTTTAATTATTACCGAGGTTTGGACAAAAAAATACATTATACATCACCATTTTTACAGCTTTGTGTTATATTTATATTTATTTGAGTAAATTATATGAATGGTTCCTATGATCTGGGGTAATTTGCACGCTTAAACCCTAACTTATTTTTTTTAACTTACGCAATTGGTCTCTGTCTTACCTAAAATGACTATTATTTAAATATGAAAAAATGATGGGGTAGGTAAGATAAGATGAAGAGGTGGGGTTGGGGGTGTGTTTATTTAAATAAATTAAAATATCAAGGACAAAATAGTCTTTTTAGGTAAGACAGAGACCAAACGCGTAACAAAAACAAACAATAGAACCTTCCAAGTTAAAAAAATAAGTTAGGAACCAAACACGCAAATTACCCTAAATCATAGTGACGATTCTTTTCAGGTAAGACTGAGACCAAACGTATAACAAAAACAAACAATAGAACCTTCCAAGTTAAAAAAATAAGTTAGAAACCAAACACACAAATTATCATAATATGAGAGAGGATAGGGAGGATTCATGTAATTTACTCAAATAAGGGTAATACTAATTTATTTGAGTAAATTACACGAATGGTCCCTATAAAACTCAAGGTCTGCCTTCCCCCGAGCAACAATAATCAAATCATGCCAAACGGATTCAAACATCACTATGTTTAATCCCTACAACTACTAAACAACCCCCAAATCTCTCTTGATCTACGATTTCTCCACCCAAAATCACACAACTTTCAACCTGGGTGTTCGGTTGTTGTCACGTATACGGGTGTGGTGAGAGAGGGAACCAACGAACAATGCAGGAATGGCTCAGCACAGGCAATCAGGAGGCATCTTCTTCGACAAACTCCGAAACGATCAGGTTTCAGTCGGGATTCGTGCCGCCGCCGCTCCCAACTACAAACAATCGCGAACTAGTCATCATCGGCGCTTCAGGAGCCGAAGGATTTCTGTCAGCGCTTTCGTGCTTGTTACTCTAACTCTCATTTTTCTCATATCTGCTTCTGCTTTCTTCTTTCTTTCTAAAGATGATAAAGGTATCTCTCTCGACTTTGCTTGGAGGTTTATATTCGATTTAAATCTTAATCATCAAAATTTATTACCTAATTGGACTTAGACTTGTGGCATTAGTTGGGAATGTTGATGGAAAAGTTGAAATACTAGAAAGTCAAAAATATTGTATCTACTCCTTGTCTGAAGAAGATGTTATGTTAACTTCACTGGGTTTTAGTTGTTTTTTTTTTTTTTTTTTTTTTTTTTCTATCTGACCAAATCCAACTTAGATTTTTACAATTACTGGGAAAATGCTGAAAAAAGGTTAAAATAGTAGAAAGCTTAAACTTAAAACAGATAGAAGATGTATTGTTCTTTATGAGAAGACAAGGGGAATGATGAGTTGAACAAGGTACCACCAAGCTAGATGCTTGATGGCAGATTATAGAAGATGTTAACTTATAGGGCTTTAGATGCTTTCTCCTTGTAACACAGTGTATATTATATGCATGTTTGTTAAGTGAGGTCTCATCTGAAGATCAAGCTTGGGAAGGGTGGTGTAAAATGGCTAATTTTTTTTTTTCCTGGATGCAGATAAGGATGAGTACATAGTAGAAGGTGATGAGTTTGGGAGTGATTTGGACTTCCTTGCAAACGTGACACGTACAGAAAGATCAAAAATGGTGAAGTTTGGGCATGGCAATGGTTTTGTTGGTCATGGTGGGGACTCTCGGTATTGGGACAGGGATGATAGGAGAAGAGATGATGATTATGGTGAGGATTTAGTGGGTAATGGTAGTACTAGTACTAGTATGGCATCAAAAAGATATGTCTCTGAAGATAACAACAAAAGGAGGTCATCGGATCACAGGGTAGCTGGTTTGTATAATGAAGCTGGGCGAAACGAGCTGAAGATGTATGAAGCAGAGTATGAGGCTTCTTTAAAAGGTGTTTCAGTGTCTAAAAAGGAAGCTAAGACCATGAATCAGCTGGCAAATTCTGATAAGCATGATGAGGAAGATGATGTGATTGTGGATGATGAGTATATTGATGAGATTGATATGCATGACATTCGACTTGAAGACTATAATGACCACCACTCTGTTGGAGGATCTTCAGCAAGGATGTACATGTACCAATTCATGGTTTGCCTGTGGATGCTTTAGATCCAGACAAACTGAGAGATACTACTACCATGCAATCCTCAAGAAGGGCTATTTCTGAGAGGAGGATTGCTTCCAAGAAGAGGTCAAAGAGGCGGAAGTATTCAGGTAATATCTGATCTTGCATATAATCTTTGTTTTGTGATGGATGATGATATGTTGCAGATACATGACTTTTTCTTGCAGGTGCTTGTGAAATGAAAATTCTTAACTCTACCATGAAGGCTGTGGAGCCTCCACAAAGTCTCAAGTTTGCAAGATTTTCCTTGCAGTACACGGAAATAGAAAGTAAGATTAATAATAGGTTGGAATCATGGGAGCCCAAATTTGGTGGGCATCAGAGTTTGGAAGAAAGGGAACAATCTTTCGTTGCAAATGATCAGAAACTTAATTGTGGGTTTGTGAAGGGTCCTAAAGGGTATCCTAGCACAGGATTTGACTTGGCTGAAGATGATGCAACATATATTGCTACTTGCCATATTGCTGTCATTTCATGCATATTTGGAAACTCCGATCGTTTGAGATCACCCATGGGGAAAACGGTATCCTCTTAGTCTTTACATGAATCATAACTATATAGCTTTTTTCTTTTGTTCCCCATCAACCATTGTCTGTTTGGATAAATGATAACCAAAATTCAATAACAGATAATGAAACTAAAATATCAGATATATATATATATATATATATATATATATATATATATATAGATATTACAATTAAGACCCTGCACTTTAGCCATATGTTGATATATATCAGATAATGACGGCATACGTGGGGGAGATAAAAGGAAAAGATAAATGATTGTGATAACTTAGGACATCATGATGGAAAAGCCCTGACTTTGTTTATTAGTTATTTCTTTTTGCATCAAGTCAAAAACAAACACTGATATATTGCTCACCTTATTTAGTTGTGTCCCTTTTAAGTTCATCAAGTAAAAATAAAAAAACACCACCTTACTCATGTAACATTGACACAAACGGTGGTTAGATTAGATTAGGGCATCTTTATAAACTACATGATCATAAACCTTACGTGACAAATGCAGACCAGTCACTTCTAACATGAAGTTTTCTTACCCCTAGAAATTTGAAATTTATCTCTAGTGGTTAATGTGTTTTATTCTAATACTTGCTCCATTGTCAAAAGTGAGATAACACTTGATTACAAAAGTTTCATGCATACATTTATGGGCTTTATACATGTCGATTAATATTAGATAACTTAGGAAGCATGGACACATCATCTCATATGATAATGACTACCATACAGTTAGCTAGGAAATTTATGAAATACTCACTTTTGAAAAATTTATGCTTCTTCCTTATAAGCCATAAGTACTTTGGGATCCAAGAAGTGTATATTAAAGATAACAAAAGGTACATGCTTTGATGTATTCTCTTTTAATCTTTAATATTAATCAGTTGCCATAATTTTATCACATTCTTATATATATATATATATATATATATATATATATATATATATATGCACACACACAAATATATATAGTCCTTTATACCCTCTGTCATCATTTACTTGACTAAAGTCCATGGTGGATACTTTTTGAACAATAAAGAAGTCGTTATCTTTACAACTAGGGTTGTTGACATAAGTACATTGGGGAGTAACATATCTGCTCCAACTGTTGTATTTTAAAAATAATTTTATTTTTGTCCATATTTTATGTGCTAGAACTTCTTCTTGGGGAGTGAGTTGGCTCTTGTCGTCACTCTTTGATTACTCTATTCAATCAATGTAAATGGTGCCCCTTTATTTGGGGTTTCTACTTTGTTAGCCTTATAGCCTTCTGATTCTGTCGGAAACAAATATGATGCACAAAATGAGGCAGAGAGAATTTTTACATTTAGTTTTCTTTTGTTTGCAACAGTTTGCCTTTTCAAAAAAGTTGTATATAAGTTGTTTATTGCACCATATGGATATTGTTGCTATTAACTATTATATGCAAGTAGTGTTGTATTGAGTGAAATATTATATAGATAGGTACCTAGTATAAACTATGTGTTTTCGTAAACACTAAAGTGGGGAAGTTTGTGAACTAAAAAGTAATGCCATCAATAATATTTTACAGCGATGCCAGTGGAGTGGACCAATAGTTGAATCTGTTTTGAAAAATGGAATGCTTATGGGACATCCCAAATTGCACGACAAAGTTTCATATGAATAAGTAACTACACGTATGGTATCCGTGTTATTTGGTTTGAGGAAAATACCACAAAACATAACATTATCCTCTTTCTGTAACAAACACCCAAATTTTTATATAAAAGCATACCTATTTTTTTGATTTTTAAAACAACATAATATGTAATTTCTTTTTTTTTTATCCCCATGAGGATATACAAGTTCTATGATTACATGCCAAAGTAACAGGCAACACTATACATGGCATAGTCGGGTGTTACTACATCCCAATCCCACACTAATAATAAAAGCCTACAAAATGTTGCCATCTACTAAGCATGTCTTCTAAGAGCTAAACTTTCTCCTTTCCCTTACCCGTTTGTACGGACGAACAATAGAAACGTGAATCATATACAATCTTAGTGAGTAACTTTTTCAAGTTCCCTACAACATAATATATACCCATGCCAACATTGCAACACAATAAGCATAGTTCCACATTTAAGTAAGATGCACCATATGAAACAGAATAAGAAACATGTACAATTGCCACATCATCATCATCATAGAATCCTACACTTCATTCCCAAGTAAACTGAACCCATCAGATACTAGGCACGTATCAAGCCATAAACCTAAATGTAGAACTTATTACCGAAAGCCAACTTGTAGTTGTAGGAGGAGGGGACACTTAGACTTATAAGTTACAAAAACATTACCCTTATTGAATCAAAAACATTACCCTTATCTCGGGATAGTTATGTAATGTTTAAACACTATCCCACCTTTATGTCTTGAAGAGGCTGTTGTAAAGCCCTTTCAGAGTTGGTCCTTCCCTCCCTCCTTAAACAAACAATTATCCATATCAAATGTCACAACAACCTATTGAATCAAATTCCCCACACTCAGCAACAAATCAACCTACCCTCGTGGTCTAACAAAATATGTTTATATAAACTCATGAATATAATGATATTTGTTTCCCTTTTAGCTAATATTTATTTACCAATTATCAGGTTAGAATCCAATTTCAAACACTTTCACCAAAACAGTTACAGACCACATGAGCCTTTTACAATAATATGGCATCTTATAGTTTTATTCATGTAATTCTTTCTTTAATCAGTAATAACATACACACACACACACACTTACACTTACACTTGAGAGTAGCATGTTTGAATTAAATAAACAGCATATGAAGTTGGTTATTGCAGGCAGGGATTGAGTTTTGTTGTTTCCTGATTCCAGGTTTCTCGGATTTCAAGGAAAAATGTATGTTTCGTGATGTTTGTAGATGATATTACTTTACAAACTCTTTCCTCAGAAGGACATATGCCGGACAGAATGAGTTACATTGGTATATGGAGAATTGTGGTTGTTAAGAATCTTCCATACACCGACATGCGCAGAGTAGGAAAAATACCTAAACTTTTGGCACACCGTCTTTTCCATAATGCAAGGTCCGTAAAATTATTTCTCTTCTTTCTATTACAACAACAACATTCTACTTTCACTTTAATTCTACTTTGAAAAATATATATATTTGGGTTTTATGCAGAAAAGTCCCATTATTTCGGGATAAAGTCCTAAAAGTTTTTTTTTTTTTTTTTGAACAGAAAAGTCCCGATTATTTAACATTTTGCTAACGAAAAAGTTCTTTTTTATATTTTAACAGGAAATGACAGATTATGTGATTTTCCCTAAATAATGAGACTTTTCTGTTCAAAAAAAAACTTTTAGGACTTTATCAAAAATTTCCCGAAATATTGAGACTTTTCTGCAAAAAACCCTTATGGTTTTAACTTTTTTTCTTAGGACATAAAATTTACCCGTGAAAATTGCTTTGTATTCGGATGATATTGCTAAAAATAAGTGCATGGATTTCTCAAAGTAGAATGCTGATCGATGATACAAGTATGAATGTATGATGTTATATTAAAGAAATCAATGAAAGTATGTTGCTATTTCTGGCATTTAGCCAAATGATAAAAAACATAGATTTACTATTTTACCTGGATAGGATAAAATGACCCATTCCAATCTGATTTTCTTTTATGTGTGGCATCAAGAGATGGAATCAGATTAAGAACATAGATTAGTGTCATGAGGACTATAGAAATGGTGTAAGGATATGACAAGTCTAATAATGTAACCAACTGATTTGATATGGCATTAGCTGCAAAGCTTGAACCCATTGCTTTCATTGTAATCACTCAATTATTTTGTTGGATAATTGGCAGCTTAAAGTTGAGCAGTATCAAATTATAAAATTAGTCGACTAGTTTTCTTCTTTCTAAACTTGTCAGCTTTAGTTGTCTGACTATCTAAATGTTTATCTTGCCTGCCATTATTCATCACGCTTATGCTCATGCGTTTAGAGGTTCTATCGCAAGGAACCATGTTATGTTATGTTATGTTATGTATAAATTCTTCTTATTTTGATGAGTGTCTAATCATCATATCTCAAGCAAGCACTTGTTGTAAAGCATGCCATAAGGGTGTTGTAGCACAGTTAAGTTAGTAATTCGAGAAAGAAACAGGTAGGTCTCCAAAGCCGAGTTCAAGACTCGATACTTTTATTCATAATCAAAAAAACAATATATATATATATATATATATATATATATATATATATATTAAAATTAAAAAAAGACAAAACTGTACAAATGGTCCCTGTGGTTTGCTCAAAATTGCCACTTTGGTCCAAAAAAGTTTGGACTAGCACCAGAGGTCCAAACTTTTCATTTTGTTGCTTGTTTAGTCCATTCTATTCTGATTTTTTTCAAAAGGACGGATTTGCCCCTGTTAATATGATTTTCTTTTTTGTTTTCTTAATTGTTTTTTGTGATTCTGATTTTCAGATTTAAAAAAATAAAAAATAAAAATAAATCACTCACTCTCTCTCTCTCTCTCCAATTACCCATCTTCTTCCTGAAAATTGTCCAGATGAACAAAAAAAAAGAACAAAAAAAAAACACCTAGAACAAATTGTTGAACACGTCAATTCTCAATGGAGATGGAGAAAAGAGAATGAGAAATCATATCTAAGGTTAGTCTTCTCCATCTGTTTTCAGATATGTTCGTCTTCTCCATCTGTTTCATATCTATTTGTGTTCTTCATCACTGTCAGGATCAACACCACACCCTTCTCAGTTCATCTTCACCATCTGTGGCTCGATTTTCAGTGTCACCGAAAAACCCACCCCAACCACACCCTCCACTCCTCCAGTATCAAAGACGAAATAGAGGGCAGATCGAATAAGGGAGAAAGAAGAAAACGAAATCATGAAGACGAGTTCGTGGGTTCTTGGGCTCTTCATCTGAACACACAGACGATGATCTGAAGACGAAACGACAGAGGAAAAAACCCTGAATCGAAATCTGCTTCTCTACCTCATCTCTCTGACGATAGTCTTCAGTCGTGAGCTCATGTCTCCGATCTCCTCCTCAGACAAAGAACAGATCTGAGCCAGTGAAGTCTGAAATCCTTCTTCAGATCTGAAACCCCTCCTCCTCTTCATATCTAGTCATCTAACTTTCTTTCATCTTTTTTATTCCTGTAAACAACCATCGAAGCATAAATCCAATTACACAGAATCGATTTCCATATGAAGATGAGGGATGAACACCCAATAATCGATTTCCAGAAATTTAGAACACGCACACACACTCTTAAATTGATTTCCAGAAACACGAACATACACGATTTTAGTTTTTGATTCGAATTTAGGAATCTGATTGTTAAGTTACCCTTGAAAAAAAAACTTACAAATGATTTCCATTGAGTTATGATTTAGAAAAACCCAAATGAAAGCGAGATTGGAAAGATACCCAGATGAGATATTTTCTTCAAAAGGAGAGAGAGAGAGAGAGAGAGAGAGAGAGAGAGAGAGAGAGATTTGGTTTTTTTAATTTTTCTTTTAATCAGAAAAATATTTAAAATAAATAAAAAAGCAAAAAGCAAGGGCAAAATCGTCTTTATAAAAAAGGTTAAAGCAAATCGGACCAAACTCGCAACAAAATGAAAAGTTTGGACCTCTGGTGCTAGTCCAAACTTTTTTGGACCAAAGTGGCAATTTTGAGCAAACCACAGGGACCATTTGTGCAATTTTGTCTTAAAAAAAATACTAATAGATATATCCTGATTTTAAATACAACAGTAGCTAAAATAAATTGAATATAATTACTACATGGTCGATAACCTTGATGAGTTGGGGAGCCGTGTCATTACTCCCCTCCCAAACAAACAAGCACCTTGTCTTCAAGGTGGAAATCTGGGCTCTGCAGCTGAATATTGGTGTAATTTGTGGAGGGTCTCTAATTCCCCATAATTTTCTTTCTCATCCTCATTGCTGTGGGCCTTGCATGATGAAGGTTGCTTCCAAGACCTGTTCTAGAAATGAATAAGATGAGGGACAACATTTCCTTAATAAATGCCATGGTAAGGGTAGATTAGTCATTGATTGTTCAATCAGCTAAACATAGAAACAAAAATATGATAGACCCTTGTTGAATCTATCGTATACTCCAGACATACTAACAAAAATACTTGATAATATTAAGATAATTCCCAATCATTCGAGAGGAAAGGGGCTCTCCAAAAGAACAAAGTTCTAGTTCATACAAATTCTTAGCTAGGACTCTATAACAAAAGGACTATATATACTACCACTAGAGACAAGACAAAAGGAAATAACAACCAACATAATCAGGTGCTGTCCCCACTAACATTGTTTCCACTCAAAAATTGGCTGCAGACCCACATATAGGAAAATAAATAAATAAAAGACTGAAATACCCCTTGGATCATTTCATTCCAGCACAACCAGGCAAAAGTTCACCCAATTGCCCTTTCTACCCTCTTGCTATGAATCAGTAAAGTCAGGGGCTTATCAAAATATCAAACACCTTTTAATACCTAAATTTCATTTACATACACAAATATTACATCATGTTGTCATTGATGCTCTTTTGTAATTTGGTGATAGAAGCTTCTTGTAAGGTTTACATTCATTGACTGATTGACTGTGGTGTGGTATTATTGTAAGCAATTTCAGTAGAGGTCCCAAATCCATACATAGACCATACATAGGTTTTGTTGTTTGGTTTGGGAAATTCGCCACCAAAAGCTTAGGGTGCGTTTGGTTGTAGAAAACTGTTTTCATTTTCCAAGAAAATGTTTTCAGAAAATAAAGTTGAGTTTTCAATGAAAATTTTAGAAAACGCGTTTGGTTGGAACCGGTGGAGTTTTCATTTTCCATCTTGGAAATTTAGAAGACAGAAAATTTTCATTTTCTTGGAAAAATTTTGAAAACTGAATCAACCAAACACGTTTTCAAAATATTCATGGAAAACTAGAAAATTTTCCGCAACCAAAGACACTCTTAGCAACTGCTTCAGTGCTACCGAACCAAAAGCTTTAATTTAAATAAATAAAAGTGAGGCGATTGGTTATATATATATATATATATATATATATATATATATATATATATATATATATATATATAACATTGTTAGTACACTAGTATGGTGTAATATAGAGAAATGATTATGAAAGGAGGTTGTTGTGTTGTGAAATTTCAGGTACTCAATTTGGTTGGATAGCAAGCTGCGGCTCCAACTGGACCCTTTACTGGTATTGGAATATTTCTTGTGGCGAAAAGGGCATGAGTATGCTATTTCAAATCATTATGATCGCCATTGTGTCTGGGAGGAAGTTGCTCAAAATAAGAAGCTCAACAAGTACAATCACACCATCATCGATCAACAATTTGCCTTCTACCAAGCAGATGGCTTAACAAGATTCAATCCATTCGATTCTCAAAAGCTTCTCCCAAGCAGTACGTCTTCTCTTCTCTTCTCTTTCTAAATATTTTCCTCATTTACCCATCACAATCACAATCTACTTTTACTATTTTATTCATTTAGCCTGTTGTTTTTGTATATCAAGTTTCTTTGATAACAAAAATAGTGATAAAATGTTTATTTTGTCCCAGATAACCAGAAAATTTGTTGTCTGAAGCAATCAAAACAGGCATAATGGTTTTCTGAATCTCGCTCACTTTCCTATTTTATTGATTTAGCCGCTCGACTATTACTTTTACTACAAAATTATTATGATAACTGTTTTAAATCGATAAAAAGTAATAGTTGAGTTGCTAAACCGATAAAAAGGGTGAAAGTGTGGTGCTTTTCTACATTTTCTCTCAAACAGTCAAAAAGTGTAATAGTTAAATAGACAGAGAGTAGTTGAAGTGGGTAAATGACGAAAGTAGGTTGTGGTTTTGGCATTAGACTAGTCAAATAAAATAATATATATACTTTTTTTCAGATGTACCAGAAGGTTCTTTTATTGTAAGGGAACACACGCCAATGTCAAACTTGTTCTCGTGCCTCTGGTTTAACGAGGTTGAAAGGTTCACACCTCGTGATCAGTTGAGCTTTGCATATACATACCACAAGCTAAGACGGATCAACCCCACCACCCCCTTTTACTTTACCATGTTCAAGGTTAGATCTTAGCCTTAGTGCTTAATGCTTATCATTACTACCTTTTAAATGCACCAACCTAATTTCATTCCTTTCTTTCTTTCTATCAAATCTACCCATTCAAATCCACAGCATTTTTCTTTGCTATAATTGGATAGACTACATAGTATAATAATCGGAAAAAAAAAATCAAAGTACAATGCTATATAATTGCTTAAAATTTTTCCTTGATAAAAAATAAATAGATAGTTGGAAGTGCAATGTTGAAATAGAATGAAATGACAGTAGGGAAGGGTGCTATAACACACAAATAAAGGAAAGGAAAGTATTGACATTTTGGTTGTTTTCCATGTGTTGTTGGGTGGTGTTTCTTTTTGACTTTAACAACGGACTTTATATATGTTTATTTTTCAACAAAGAGAAACAGATAAAAATGTTGGTTGCTGCTATTTTAGGAAATTTAAGCTGATGAATATTAATATTAGTTAACCTTACAACAAACAAACAGGACTGTGAAAGGCGAAAGATAGCAAAGTTGTTTCGCCACAGGTCAGAAGAGAGTAGAAGATATATGATGATTGGACAAGAGGCAGAGTGAGTGATGTGGATGATAATCATATCAGAGCCTTTGTTTGTGTCTACTTATTATATTATGGAGTGGAGGGAGTTGTAGATATACATACAAGAGGCGTACACTGTTTTTGGGTGGTGAACTGAAGATGGCCATACATACATAAATCATTTGTGTATTTTATTTTCCATCTCAACACCCAGACACCACCTCACACACACCTACCTACCTACCTACCTACCTGGCTGGCATGCTGTATTAAGCGTGGTGTACATTTTTTCTTTCTTTGTGGTTTTATGGATCGTAGATAGTTGGATGCTATTTTATGCAAGGATTTTGGACTGTTATTTTTCTTCATTCAAATTGGTGGAGTTTGTATTTGCTTGGCTTGGCTTCGCTTGGCTTCTCTTTGTTTTTCCTTGTTCAATGCTTTATAGTAAGTAAAGGTTTCAAAAACAGGTGCTAAGAAAAAACCTCATTTGGTGAACATAAATAATAACATAATCAAATCTATAAAAATAATAGACTTACAAACACTACATATCAAGTATTACTGAAAAATCGATAAAAACAAAAAATTATAGTATTAATCTATAAAAGTTTATAATATACAAAAAATGTCAAAAAAGAAAAATGCATTTCATAATTTAACAAACTAAATAAAAAGAAAAGAATCATGAAAATTTAAAAATACGTATACAATATGTACTGTTTCAGTTATTGGTCTTAGCTCATATAGAAGACCTCGTGCATCGTCTTCGTCAATGCATCTTCTTTCCCTATGCATCTTCATCCTTTCTTAGTAATGGCAGATCTACCATTTTAATTCTAATTTTATATGAAATTGCAACTAAAAATGCCAATATCGATAAGTAATGAAGCCGATACACAATACATATTATTTACCTGTACATCCCAATCCCCTTTAATTATTTTGGAGAGATATTGCTGCTACTCCACTCAAAGCCTCGAAGCCAAGGTAATTTTTTTTTTACACATTCTAAATTTTTAACTATTCTGTATTAGGGATAATGACTTAAAAGGATAATGCATTTTTTGATTTGTACACATTTGGTCAATGAATTTTTTTTCCGTCCACATTTACCCCTTCAACTTGTTAAACTATACACATTCAGTCCTTGTGACCAGTTACTCCAGGTTAACCGGGAAAAATGACTTAATAGGGTAATATATTTTTCATTTTGTACACATTTAGTCCTTAATATTTTTGTACATATTTAGTCCTTAATATTTTTTTGTTTCAAAATAAGTCCTTTTTTGTACTCATTCAATACTTATGAATGATTTTCTTAGGTTTTTTTCACGACATCTTACGCGGAACAATCATTGATGAAGTGTTTTAGGTTGTTGATGCTTATGTCCAACACGATCTCGACTGCTTGTGTAACATCCTCGTTTCGAGGTATAACATTTCTTTATGTGATAATGAGGTTGTCTGGGTGACTCGACGAGTTGGTGCCTCAACTCGTCGAGTAGAGTCGCGATTCGGTGACGTGGATTAGTGAGCCGACTCGACGAGTCAGCGCTGTCGATGGAAACCCTAAATTCATGGGCCTTTGGCCTATTTAAAGGCACTTATAGCCTCATTACGACTACCCTTTGCCTGAGAGAAAACCCTAAGCGTCCCCTTGAGCAATGAGAGTGTGTGATTAACTTATTGTGAGCGTTAGTGCATTTGGTGAAGAGGAATGAAGGATCTCAAGCTAAGGATCAAGAAGGTGTGGTTAGATCTGAGGCTATAGCACTCCAGAACATCTAAAGGAGGTATCCAACTTCACCATTCTCAATTCTTTAAGTAGATCTTTTGTTTGTTGAATCCTAGGGTTTCTTCTTCCCTAAAACATGAGAACCTTGATTGATTCATGATCATAGAGAGAGAGAGAGAGGGACTTCAGATCTGGACCATATGAGGACCTTAGAGTCCAGATGTCCCTGCTTTATTCAGCCATAATGAGTGATTTGAGTGAGAAACCATTGTTGAGGTGAGATTTGACATTTTGAGCTCTTAATGCCATGTATGAACGTAAAGCCTGTGACTTTGCGTGATAAGGGAGCTTAGGGAGTATAGATCTAAAGTTTGGGTGGGTTCCCTGCTTTGGAATTGTCTGAATAAGATGAGAGTCTGAATGGACTCGCCGAGTCAAGGGGCTGACTCGACGAGTCGGTTAGGGTTTTCCCGATTAAGCTGAATCATGCGATAACTCGGCGAGTTGGGGGTCAACTCGACGAGCTGAGCTGGACTTCGACAAGACTTCTGAGGAAACGAGTGGACTCGACGAGTCACAAGAGTGCACTCGGCGAGTCGGGTCAATGGACTGTTGACTCGAGTTTGACTTTGGTTGACTTTAGGGTTGGGTCAACCATGAGTAATGGAGACCATGGAGGGGTAAAATGGTCTTTTATCCACTTCAAGAGTTAGACAGAGAAAGAGAATAGCCTTTGGTATTTGAGTATGATTAGAGTATTAATTAGAGATAATTATTCTATGTGTTAGGCGGAGGCTAGTCCGAGATCCCATGTACGAGATTATACTGGCCAGCTTATGAGGTGAGTCTTCTCACTATACATCAGAGTAGTAGTTACTGTGTGACCGGAAGGTCTTCATAGAGATATTGGACCAGAGGGTCCTCATTATTGACCGGAGGGTCTCATTGTTATTTTGTGATAATGAATATTATGCATACTGTCTTTGTGACTTATGCTGTTATATTATTTAGTGTAAATGTTGTTATATATGTTTACGCTGAGTTAGGTGATATTTATTATACAACATGCTTTGTGATTATGCTATGCTTGTGATTATGCTGTGTTTTGCTGAGTTAGGACCGGAGGGTCCACCCGCATAGTCGGACCGGAGGGTCTCCACTGAAACACATTGACCGGAGGGTCATTTCGAGTTAGCCTCGAGTGGCTAATGAGACGTGTGCGGTATTTTGGGGAACTCATTAAGCTTCGTGCTTACCGTGTTATGTGTTTCAGGTTTTCTCAGGATCGCGGGAAGGCACCGGCTTGATTATACACACCAGTGAAAGAGTTATGCTTGAGGATCCTGGATTTTAATTAAACAGTTATGAGGTTATGATTTTGTAAAGTAAATAAATGAGGTATTTTGTGAAATGTGTTATGAGAACTACGGGAATTTTAATGAAAAAAATTTGTTTGAAAATTTACGGTGTTACAAGTTGGTATCAGAGCCTTGGTTTGAGGGATTCAGATGCACATTCAGGTATGTCTGGACTCAAACTGAGGATTTGAGAAAAATTTTCTAAGGAAATGATTTTTCTAAAACGAGCAAGAGTTTCTAAGAAGAAAAATGAGAAGGAGCAGTGTGTACAATCAGCCAGAGCCCGAACGGTGATTTCGCAAATTACCCTTACTTATTTGTGTTATGATTTATTAATGAGATATTAGTAATGCATGCTAGAAGATAGGCTAAGTATTTCATATTTTAGGGCTAGAGTTGCCTGATTTGTGATGCCTTAGCCTAGGAATTTTGTTGCTATCTGTGAGGTGCCTTGAGTATGTGTGGAGTAAGAGTATCCAACAGGAATCTTTTAAAGAGAACTTTGAGTCGAGGAGTAATCTAGGAGAGATACCTAGATGAGCATTGGAGGAACCTATCAAGAGAGAGAGAGAGAGTAGTTAGATACCGCGAGGGGCAGAGTTGCTTGAGTTCGGTGACACCTTTTGAGCGTGTGTAGAGCAAATAGAGTGCAACCTAGAGTGGTTTTACGTGTTGGTAGAGATTATTCGATGCCCGAATGTTGCTTGCTTTGTGCCTTGTGGAACTCTTGATGATGGGAGTCAGCTACTAAATGAATATGACGATATTCAGGAGGTAAATAGCTAGCATCATAAGGAGTTCTTCAGCAGCTGATGACAGAGAATTGTGAGAACCTAGGAAGAGCCTAGGGAGTGATCTTAGTCAGATGAGTACATTGTTAGAGGAGAGTATTCGCTGGGGAGCGACCAAGTTTATCGGGATTGGTGATCGAGAAGGTTGAGTAGCTACTTAGGAAATCTGGGACGATCCGTGTGGAAAGTATGGGTAGATGTGGCAGGTAGTATGGGCCCGTACTACTGAAAGCAGAGGACCCGTACTCGAAACAGGGACAATTCCAGAGGTTCTAAGTAGCAGATTGAGTTCATAAGCTGGTGAGTTCATAAGATTTTAGTGATGTAGTAAGTAGTAAGACAGTTGTAGAAAGTTATAGTAGTTGTAGTAAGTTCTGTTTTAGAAAAAGTTTGCCTGTTCCTCCAGAAAATCCTATATTTCCTGCTTTGATGAAAGATAAGTAAAAATCATGCTACAGTCCTTTCTATGAGTATTAAATGGATACAAGTTATATAAAACCCAAAGTAAACAAAACAAGGAACATGAAATGAGGCGGAAGACACACATCTCATTGTTTGTTAGATCCTCGTTGTATATAACCCCTGCGTATTCACTCGGTACTCACGGAGTTAACTGTAATAGTTCCTTTATATTTGATGAAAATATCCTTTAAGAAAACCCTTATTTCTAATAATAAAATGGTAACCACAGTAGTTCCTTCTATAATCACTTAGTTTATACTAGTTATATATATTCTAATATCGAACAGATAGTTAATTGTGTGAATCTGCCCTAAACCCACAACCAAACAAGGAACAGGGAATGAGGCGGAAGGCACACATCCAACTACCTATCGGATATTAGTTATATATAACCCTGATGTATAAACTAAGGTATTATAGAATTAACCACCTAAGGTCCTTTAAGTTTTACTGGTTTAATAAAATGGATTAAACCCTTTACTGGTTAAGTTTCTAGTTTTGAATACCAAAAGTTCTTTATTTGAAAAGTATGTTTTGTACTAGAAAACGATGCATTGAATTAGTGTCCTATGACCTGACCCATACATGGTACCCCTTATGATTACTTGGTGTATACGGAACATATATATAGCTAAGCTCGGATAGATAGTAGGCTGGGTGTATCTGCTCCAAGCCCACAACCAAACAAGGAACAGGAAATGAAGCGGAAAGCACACATCCTACTACTTGTCAGACCCGATTAATATATATCCCTGAATGCATACACTAAGGAATCATAAAGTTAGCATTATAGGTCCCTTTCTACTAAATGTACTAGACTCGACTGTTCTGTGTGTCGTTTGTAAAATGTAAGTTTTCCCTAGTTTATATATCTTGACTCGAAAATAGTTTGTATTAGCTTTCAAGTGGAACTGTCACTTACTGAAAGTAATGGGAATTTATAAGTACGCAGTTGTCTTTTGAATTGACATTCTGTAGTACTATTTTACCTTAAAACATGTTTGTTTTATTAAGGTCATAATGTGAGGAATAGTACCCATACTATA